CCCCAGATCCCTCAGCGCTGGCTCAGCCCGACTCTTCAACCCCTCCAGGGATCCCGGGGACTCCCCCCTGCCCTGGGCAGCCCATTCCAACGCCCAACAGCCCCTTCTGCACAGAAATCCTTCCTCAGAGCCAGCCTGACCCTGCCCTGGGCAGCTTGAGGCCATTCCCTCGGGGCCTGGCGCTGGGGCCTTGGCTCCAGAGACTCATCCCCCCTCTCTGCCCCCTCCTGGCAGGGACTTGCCGAGGGCCAGGAGGTCTCCCCTCAGCCTCCTCTTCTCCAGACTGAACCCCCCCAGTTCCCCCAGCCGCTCCCCAGCAGACCTGTGCTCCAGACCCTGCCCCAGCTCCATTGCCCTTCTCTGCCCACGCTCGAGTCACTCAATGGCCTTTTTGGGGTGAGGGGCCCAGAACTGAACCCCCTCAGCAAGGGGCGGCCTCCCCAGTGCCGAGCCCAGGGCTCAGATCCCTTCCCTGTCCCTGCTGGCCACGCCAGTGCTGACACCAGCCAGGATGCCGTTGCCCTCCTTGGCCCCCTGGGCACACTCTGGCTCATTCTCACCCCCCAGTCCCTCTCTGACCGGCAGCTCTCCAGCCACTCCTCCCCAGGCCTGGAGCCCCCCTGGGGGTTGTTGTTTTATTTGGTGGTTGTTATATTTTACCATTTACATGGACATTATCCTTAAGAAGTTTGGTTTTGGAATAATTTCATTCTTCCCTCAGTGAATATACCCCATAACTTTAAATAAAGCCATAATAGAACCTCAAGTCTGCAAAGGAGATAAAAATCCAGCCTAAAATCATTTTTTAAACAATTTGGGGAAAAAAAAAAAAAGGTGATCCAAGTAGCTGCACCAGTGCACAGTTGTTTCCTTCTATACACTCTGTCATGGTTTAAACCCGGCCAGCAGCCAAACACCACACATCCACTCACTCAGCCTCCCTCACCCCCAGGGAACGGCCAACAGAGCTAGAGGGGTAAGGAGACTCATAGTTTGAGGTAAAAACAATTTAATAATAGAAATAAAATTAAAATAATAATGATAATAGTAATCACAGAAAATACAAACAGATAATGTCCCATGTGATCGCTCACCATGCACTGACGGATGCTCAGCCCGTTCCCAGTTGGTGATCCCAGAGAAAAGAGAATCCTGAGACCACCGTCCCAAAAACCCGAGTGGAGCTCCCTGCTCATCCCTTATCTATGCACCGAGCTCGACGTTAGATCGTATGGAATAGTCCATTGGGCAGTTCGGGGCCATCGTTTTGGCTCTGCTCCCCCGCAGCTTCTTGTGTACCGGCGCACTGGCAGGACATGAGAAGTTGGGATGTCCTCGATTTCTCAGCAGCAACTCAAAACCCCAGGAGATTATCAACATTCTTCTCATATCGAATCCCATACTGAATCCAAAACACGGCGCTATCTGCTAAGAAAGAAGAAAAATAAAACCCAAAACAATTAGCTCTACCCCAGACGAAACCGGGACACGCTGCCATGAAGGGAACTTTATAAAAGCAACCCATCATCAACATTAAATCATGTGAACCAGAAGCTGTCCCTTGGGACATCTCGCTTCCCGTCACACTTAGGGAGTTCTGCCTCTCCTGGTTCTGATCAAATCCCGTCCCTGGGGCAAGCCCATGATTTGCCTGCTCGGAAAGGTAGATTTAGTAAATTATTGACGGTGTGTTCAGTGGCCTTTTAAAGCAATTTAGCGGTGGAATATGAGGAAGAGCCAGCCAATAGGAATAGATCACTTCATACAGATGGTAGCAAAGGCTTCAAAATACAAAGCAATTAGGGAGCCTGGCCCTTATCAGCCTCCCCTGAAGCCCTAAGACTGCAAAAAAACCCGGGCAGCTTCTACTGTCGCAAAGTCCTGCAGGTATGGGAACAGGCTGGGGACCAGGTGGGCAGAGATAACGGATCTCTTCCCTTTGGGCAGCCTCAGTTCAGCTTTAATCAATCACTAAGCCCCACCTAGAGTTTTGTAACTGCTTTAAACTGGCAGAAATTGGCACTTCTGCCAAAAGAAGCCTCCTCCGCTCCCAGCTGCTCGTTCCCTCCCTTGCGCTGGCACCAGAATTCGAGTGGCTTGCATAAATGAGCTAGAACGGGCTGCTCTGAATTGAAATTAATTCAGCACGCACAGAGGAAATGCTAATTTTTAACGTAGGGAAGCCGTGTATCCACCACTCCCATAAAACCCAACCTCAGCAAAGAGCGAGTTAAAAGCAGCGGGCCCTGTTTTGTCAATCTACGCCAAAATATGTAACTAGAAAAAGCAATGTATGGGGCAAGGCAGTGCTGGAGGGTCTCGGGCCACTTGGGATCCTCCTCTGATGCTCCTTGGGTGCTCCCCAGAAGGAAAGCTTTGGTGGGCTGCGGGCATCCAAAGGAGCAGGGACACTGTGATAAGCACCAACTGGATCTTCTCCAGGGAACGGAGAGGAGCATCGTGCCTCGGGACGTGCTGTACTTGCACATATCTCCCCTGAGCAAAGGGCAAAGGAGAGATGAGGATGCTGCATCACTAAAATAAACTTTTTTTTTTTTTTTTCCTTTTCAGCCCACCGTGAGGAAGCGTTACCCATCCAGCCGCCTCACCGGCTCGACGCCGCGTACAAGCAACACATCTGAAAGCTACAGCAATCCACGGCACTTGTTCTTTGTTCGTAGCACCATGCTTGTATGACACTTGTTTGTAAGTCTAATTTAATTAAAAAAACAGTAAAAAGCAAGTGCAGATTTTTTTGACGCTGTGCTGGCAGGGTGTCTGCGCGTGAGAAAACGCCCTGGGGAGGGTAGCACATTTAAGAGAAATTAAATTGTCTCATTCAGCCCAGAATAAACATGGTGCTAATCCCTCTAATGGCCTTAAACATCACCCGTAGCGCCGATCCAGCGACAGGCGTGCAATAGGACCCAATTAAGCTGCTCGCACGTTTGAAATCATGGCCTCATCAGCTTTGGTTTAGTCTGGAGTCTCTCGATGGCTTTCCCTAAACTTGCTGAGGCAAGCTAAAACGCCCAACTTCGTGAAGCGCTGCACCAGCAGATTGCAGAGGCCTGATGACAGGGTGAGTGGGAGGCACTGGTGGTTCTGCTGCCCGCTCCCGATGGCGGGTTACAAAGGCATGGGGATCTCCCAGGATACCCGGATCCTCCTGCTCTGCCTAAA